CCACTTCTGGCTTTTTCTGCTTATGTGGTGCTGAGGAATCAAACCCAGGGCCTCATGCATGCAAGGCAAGCACTCTACCACTGAGCCACCTTCCAAGCCCCAATCCTAGTTATCCTGAAGGCTGAGGATAGAAGGATTGTGATTTGAAGTCAGATTGTTCAGAAAAATTCATGAGACCCTCTCTCAAAACTAAACAGTAAGGGGGTGAGGGGGCGTGGAGATGGGAAGGGATGAGAAGGGGAAACAAAGGAGGAGGCAACAATGCTTCTTAAGAAATGTACTCATTACCTTGCTCGTGTAATTGTAACCCCTCTGTACGGTATTTTCACAAAAAAAACAAAATGGATTTGTAAAAAACAAAACAAAAAAATACTAACCAGTAACCAGGTGGCTCATGCTTATGATCCTCACTACTACGGAGGCTGAAATCTGAGGTTTGCAGTTCAAACCCAGCACAGGCAGGAATGTACACAAAACTCTTATCTCCACCACCTATCAAAAAGAGAACCAGGAGTGGAGTTGTAGATCAAGTGATAGAGTACTAGCCTCAAGCACAAAAGCTCAGGGACAATGCCCAGGCCCAGAGTTAAAGCTCCAGGACCAGCAAAAAAAGAAAAATAGGGCTGGAGGTATGGCTCAAGTGGTAGATCATCAGCCTAGCAGGTATTCAAGCATGAATCCCTGAGTTCAAACCCCAGTATTGCAACTAGAAAAAAAAGAAAAAAAATAACGTGTAAGACATGATGTTGAGGGGAATGAACTTCTTTTTCAATGTCCTATTGTTCATTATATGGGTATTTGGCATTTCTTTATGCTGTTTTAATGCATTGTGTCACCCTATGTCCAGAATTGGGTGCATTAACATTTTTTCTTTTTCCACACTACAAATCTTAACCATATTTTAATTTGTTTGTGTCTGAGATGCATTATTCTTTTAGAGAGTCTTACTAATTTTTTTTTTTTTTTTTTTGGTCATGCGGCTTGAACTCTGGGCTTGGGCGCTGTTCCTCAGCTCTTCAGCTCAAGGCCAGTGTGCTCTACCGCTGGAGCCACAGCGTCACTTCTGGTTTTCGAAGGTATCTCAGTGGTAGAGTGCTTGCCTCACATGCATGAGGCCCTGGGTTCTATTCCTCAGCACCATATAAACAGAAAAAGCCGTAAGTGGCACTGTGGCTCAAGTGGTAGAGCACTAGCCTTGAGCTGAAGAGCTGAGGGGCAGCGCCCAAGCCTAGAGTTCAATCCCCATGACCAGCAAAAAAAAAAGAGTCTCATGGACTTTCCTGGCCCGGCTGGCTTTGAACCACGATCCTCAGCTCTTAACCTCCAGATTAACTAGGATTACAGGCGTGAGCCACTAGCGCCCAGCTTTACTATATTTTTAAGCCTAATTAATAGAAGTTGCCCTTTTTCTTTGGTTGGTTGTGGGGCTTGAACTCTGGGCTTGGGCGCTCTCCCTGCGCTCTTCAGCTCAAGGCGAGAACACTGCGCTTGAGTCACAGCGCCAATTCCGGTTTTCTAGTGGTTTATTGGAGATGAGTCTCATGGACTTTCCTGCCCTGGCTGGCTTTGAACCATGATTCTCAGATCTTAGCCTCCTGAGTAGCTAGGATTACAGGAGTGAGCCACCAGCGCCTGGCTAAAGTTGCCATTTTTACCATTGAGTCCTGCTTGCCTTATTCAAATATCTTCAATAATACTGCCTTCCGGATGCATTAGGAACAATAGGTGACAATGTTGTCAGACACCTTATATTCATACACTGTTTTGTAGAATGGGAACTTCTTTGTACAACTTAATAATAACAAAACGTTAAAATAAAAAAATAAAATAAAAAATACTGCCTTCAGGTAAACTATAAGCAGTTAAGCAGTTTTACTTCTAAGTAAAGTCAGAATGAATTGAAGAAATTACATGCCTTAATGATGTTTTATAATGTTTTTAATCTTCCTTTCTCAGTTAGCATACTTTTACCAGAGGAAAGGTTGGAAGACCTGTTTGATATGTGCAGACACATTCAGAGCAGGTAAGGTGTATGTTGCAATTTAAAATTTGTTTTGTGCAACTTTTATTTTCAAGTTTAAGGATTCATTAATTCTTTATCTTTTAGGTGCTTTCGACCAACTAAAACAGAATGCTACCAAGGCACGAATTCCATTCTATGGAAGGTTGGTTATTACCTTTTCTTTTACACTTTTATGCTTCATCATGTCCGTGTTTTGTGAGTTTTTTCCAAATCTTTTTAATTTTTTTTTTTTTTGTCAGTCATGGGGCTTGAACTGCGGCTTGAACCGGACACTTTTGTGTTCAAGGCTAATGGTCTGCCACTTTGAGCCATAGCACCACTTCCTGTTTTCTGGTGGTTAATTAGACATAAGAATCTCAAAATTTCCTGCCAGGGCTGGCTTGGAACTATTTGGATCCTTAGATCTCAAGCTTCCTGAGTAATTAGGATTACAGGCATGAGCCACCAGTGCCCAGCTTAGTTATACTTTAATTTATACTTTGTAGATATAGTCTTTTCTGGGCCAAAATAGGGATGTAATTAACGACTTACAGCTTAATATGACCTTGCTGATCCAATTTGGTGTGGATCAGAGGGGAATTGCTTAGTTTGTAATTTTTCCTCTAGTTTTCATACTTCCTGGTATGCTTTACTACTTCCTTCTGCCTTTTTGTTCTATTATCCTTTTTTTAATTAATAAAATTTAGTATGAGGATTTGAATCCAGAGCCTCATGCTTGTTAGGCAGGTGCTCTACCACTTAAGCCACAGCCATAGCCTTTTTGCTTTAGTCATTTTTCAGGCCAGGGTTTCACATTATTGCCTAAAGATAGCCTTAGACTGTGATTTTCTTAGTTATGGTCTCCCAAGCCTCCTACATAGCTTGGCATGCATCTGGATGCCCAGCTTATTGATTAAAATGGAGTTCACTAAAATTTTCCTCAGCTGGCTTAGAACCATGATTATTCTGATCTCCACTTTCTAGTAGTTGTCACTGTAGATGTGAGCCATTACTCCTGGATAATTTTTCAAAAGTTTTTAAATAGGGTGTTCTTATGTAACTCAGATATGTATCACCCACCATGACTGACTTTCTCTTATTTCTTTTAAGACCTAACTCAAGCATTGCATCATTAAATACACACTGGTACACAGACTGGTAAAATGTTTTTATCAATTAAAAGCATTTAGTAATTGGGGCTGGGAAGGTGGCTCAGTGGTAGAGCGCTTGCCTTGTATGCATGAGGCCCTGGGTTCGATTCCTCAGCACCACATAAGCAAAAAAGAAAAAAGCCTGAAGTGGCGCTGTGGCTCAAGTGGTAGAGCGCTAGCCTTGAGCTGAAGAGGACAGTGCCCAGGTTGAGAGTTCAGGTCCCACGACCGGACCCAAAAAGAAAAAAAGAAAAGAAAAAAGAAAAAAGCTGGAAGTGGCGCTGTGGCTCAAATGGTAGAGCACTACCCTTGAGCTGAAGAGCTGAGGGACAGTGCCCAGGCCCAGAGTTCAGGCACCACGACCAGACACACACACACACACACAAAAAAAGCATTTAGTAATTTATTTAGAAAGTGTGTTTGTTCATTCTAAAATGATTTATATTCTAAATTATGTCAAGTGGAGATTCTGAAATGATTAAGTATGTGGTCTATACATATTAGAATACTTAAAGATGTCTAGATTCAATTTAGAAGGGCTTAATTTAGAGGCTGTTTAAGAGGATTTCCATTTTGTGGCTGGACAAAAGAAGCCAAACCGTAAAAAAAAAAAAATTTAATCAGCTCAGTCTGAATCCTAACTACCTACTCAGGAGGTTGAGATCTGAGGATCGAGGTTCAAAGCCAGCCCAGGCAGGAAAGTCCATGAGACTCATCTCCAATTATCCACCAGAAAACTGGAAGTGGTGCTGAGGCTCAAATGGTAGAGTGCTAGCCTTGAGCTGAAGAGCTGAGGGACAGTGCCCAGGGCCAGAGTTCAAGCCCCATGACCAACCAAAAAGAAAATTTAATCATATTTTAATAACATTTTATGTTAACTTCTAACATTAAAGAATATAGATAGGGGCTGGCACTGGTGGCTCACACCTATAATCATAATCCTAACAACTCAGGAGGCTGAGATCTGAGGATCATGGTTCCAAGACAACCTAGGCAGATCAGGTAAGAGTCCTTGAGATTCTTATATCCAATTAACTACAAAAAAAAAACTAGAATTGGAAATGTGGTTCAAATAGTAAAACACCAGCCTTGAGTTTCAGAAACCAAACGAACACAAGGCTCTAAACCTAGGCCAATGGCTCATGGCTGTAATCCTAGCTATTCAGAAGGCTAAGATCTGAGGATCACAGTAGGACCCAATCTGGGCAGGAAAAGTCCAAAAAACTCATCTTTAATTAACCACAAAAAGACAGAAGTAGAGCTATTCTTTTTTTTTGGGGGGGGGGGTCCGGTCGTGGGGCCTGAACTCTGGGCCTGGCACTGTCTCTCAGCTCTTCAGCTCAAGGCTAGCACTCTACCACTTGAGCCACAGCGCCACTTCTGGCTTTTTTCTTTTTGCTTATGTGGTGCTGAGGAATCAAACCCAGGGCCTCATGCATGCAAGGCAAGCGCTCTACCACTGAGCTACCTTCCAGCTCCTGGAGGGCTATTCTTGAACAAAAGAGCTCAGGGCCTGAGTTCAATCCCCAGGACTGGCACAAAAAAAGAAAGAGAAAGAGATTGAAAGAGAAAAAAAGAGAGAGAGGGAGGGAGGGAGGGAAGGAGGAAGGAAGGAAGGAAGGAAGGAAGGAAAAAAAGCACAAGGCCCTGACCCTCGGCACTAAATGAATGAATGAATGAATGTGATTGTTTTTACTTTTTCAGAATAGATTAAAATGAAGGAATAGCAATCCCTAAGTTAATAGTATTTGGAAATTTTTCTCTTGTGGCCGTTGTCAAATCATTTGTATTTGTTAAATAGCTATACAGAAATGGATCCTGTTATCATTGCTTCTGAAGGAGTGGATAAATTCAAAAATGAAAATTTTGAAATTATTATTGTTGATACAAGCGGTCGCCACAAACAGGAAGATTCTTTGTTTGAAGAAATGCTTCAAGTTGCTAATGCTATAGTAAGTCACTTTCCATAAAACAACGTTTTTTAAAACTTTAATTCATTTAATTATGAAGTCTGATTGAGTTTATAGACTATAACTTACTAGTTGCCTGTAAGAGAAATTCAAGGTAACATTTATTTTTGGACCTCCGTATCTGTGTGGTAAAGAACTTAATCTTATCACTTTTATTGTCCAATGTAGGAAAAATAAAAAATTGAGAATTAATTTTTGAGATTGGAGGCATGCTAAGGTAAAGTGCCAGCCAATGAGTAAAGCATGAAGTTCAAGTTCCTATCTTACACACACACACACACACACAAGAATTTTTCATATATGTTGTTTCTTTTCTGTGTTATTCAAATTCAGTTATAAATACTACTTTAGGTGAATTTTGAAAGTTTTTCCAGAAGCATTTAAAAATATTTAATTGTCAGTGTGATAACTTTAATATTGTGATGAGAATACCATGGAGGATAAGTGGGAAGAAGCAGTTTATAGATCATTTACAGCATATAGTAGAAACTCATATTGTGCCATTAGTATGCTAGCAGTGATTCTTTGGTTAGTAGTTACTACTAAGTTCCTTTGTAGCTATTATTTTGACCAACATGGGCCAGTATAAGAAATATTGTCTTAGTCTGTTTTACTCATTTTGGTTTCAGTATGTAGTTTTCTATATTTTTATTTTATTTTCTGATTTGTTTTTATTTTTCTTAGAAGGTATTTTTCCAAATCTAATTTTCTCTTTTTTTTTTTTTTTTTTTTTGTGGGTCGTGAGGCTTGAACTCTGGGCCTGGGCGCTGTCCCTCAGCTCTTTAGCTCAAGGCGCTACCACTTGAGCCACAGTGCTACTACCAGTTTTCTGAGTGGTTTATTGGCTGATTACAGGCGTGAACCACCAGTACCCGGCAGTTTTTTGTTTTTTTTTTTGAGGAGGGGGGTGGTGTTAGTCATGGGGCCTGAACTCTAGGCCTGGGTGCTGTCCCTGAGCTCCTCAGCTCAAGGCTAACACTCTACCTACCACTTGAGCCACAACTCTACCTCCAGCTTTTTTTTTCTGCTTATGTGGTACTGAGGAATCCAACCCAGGGCCTCATGCATGCAAGGCAAGCACTCTACCACTGAGCCACCTTCTCAGCCCTAATTTTTTCTTTATTCAGGCCTCAGCTCGCACAATTTTTCCAAAGAGGCTTTCCTTGACTAGCTAGTCTAGAGATACCTCCTATATCTTATATGTGCCAGGAGGACTAGGATTGTCTTATTTATCTCTATCTCAGGAACTATATTCTGCCTGAATTATAGTACTCGCTCAACAAATATTGATTGAGTGAATATTTATAGTAAATACTTTATAGTTCCTAATGGTGAATTTTACTTACAATCAATAAAAATGTCTCATTTCTGTTTAAACTTTCTAGCAACCTGACAACATTGTTTATGTGATGGATGCCTCCATTGGACAGGCTTGTGAAGCCCAGGCTAAGGCATTTAAAGATAAAGTTGATGTTGCCTCAGTTATAGTGACCAAGCTTGATGGTCATGCAAAAGGAGGTGGTGCACTCAGTGCGTAAGTATTGTTGATGCCATTGTCCTATATCTTGGAATTATATGATGTGTGAACATTTATAAGGGTTTTGTTTGTTTTTGTGCTGGTGCTGAGGCTTGAACTCAGGGCCTATACTCTCTGTCCATGAGCTTTTGCTGAAGACTAGCATTCTACCACTTGAGCCACAGCTCCACTTCTAGCTTTTTTTTTTTTTTGGTAGTTTAATGGCTGGCTTTTTGAACCATGATCCTTAGATCTCAGCCTCCTGAGTTGGTAGGATTACAGGCATGAGCCACTGTGCCTGGCTTTATGAGTTTTTTGGGTTGTTTTTTTTGTGTGTGTGTGTGCCTGTCCTGGGCCTGAACTCAGGGTCTGGGCACCGTCTTTGAGCTTTCTTGCTCTAGATTGGTGCTCAACTATTTGAGTCATGTCCACTTCTGGCTTTTTGAGGTTAATTGGATATTAGAGTTCATGGACTTTTCCTGCCTGAGCTGGCTTTGAACTGCCATCCTCAGATTTCAGCCTCCTGAGAGTAGCTAGGGTTACAGGCATGAGGCACTGACACATGGCTGTCTTGTTCCTCTTTTAAACTGTATTTCACTAATATGGCTTGTAAAAGAAGTTTAACTAGAAATAGAATTTTGTAGTTCTATTTTAACTAGTGAAAACAATCCTGAGGTTTGTGACTTTGTTTAGCTTTGAAAATCTACTGGATATTTGTTTTCTTTTTTGATATTATTTTATATTTTCTTTTTCTATGTAGAGTTGCTGCCACAAAAAGTCCAATTATTTTCATTGGTACAGGGGAACATATAGATGACTTCGAACCTTTTAAAACACAACCTTTCATCAGCAAACTTCTTGGTATGTACTGAGATGGAGATCGAAAAAAATCTCTTGAGAAGTAATATGGCTCTATGAAATAGAATAGGATTTTAATATTGTTCTTAAACAAATAATTTAAGAAAATCATTTCCAGCTGGGTGCTGGTGGCTCATACCTGTAATCCTAGCTACTCAGGAGGTTAAGATCGAAGGATAGCGGTTCAAAGCCAGCTTGAGCAGGAAAGTCCATGAAACTCTTATGTCCAATGAAGCACTCAGAATACTGGAAGTGGTGCTGTGGTTCAAGTGGTAGAATGCTAGCTGTGAGCTGAAGACTTGAGGGACAGCGCCCAGGCCCAGAGTTCAAACCCCACAACCAACAACAAAAAAAAAGAAAATCATTTCCTTCTGTGACTATGTCCCTTTCCTCTCAATTAGGAGTGAGTTAGCTGTTTTCTAAATGGTAAAATGAGAATATTAGATGTTGTTTGCAAAAGTTTTAAGGTGCAATACAAACCTATGCAGTTAAAGTACTATCAATTATAATGGCAGTAAAAACCTTTATAATCTCAAGGTGATAATAGAGAGCGAGGACTTTGGAGATAAACTCTGCTCAAGAGCCTGCTTTGTCTCTTCTTTGCTGCCATTTAACCTCTACTTTCAGTTTTCTGAAAGTGGTAGAGCACTTGATCACCATGGACAAACTTGTGAAATCTAGTAATACTTAACGTATCTACTTTGCAAGAATGTTATGTATGTGAAATACGTTTTGTGTGATGTAAAGCTTGAGCATATTACTAATTTTTCTTTTTTGGGTCTTACAGGTATGGGTGACATTGAAGGACTGATAGATAAAGTCAACGAGTTGAAGTTGGATGACAATGAAGCACTTATAGAGAAGTTGAAACATGGTATATTAGTGGCAACAAAGCATTTGATTTCCTATATCTTCCTTTGATTTCTTTTTTGCAATGCTGGAAATCAACCCAGCACATGCTAGGCAAGCACAATACCACTGATCTATATCCCCAGCTCTTTTCTTTTTTTTTTTTTTTTTGTAACAGGCTCTTACTATGTAGCCCTTGCTGGTCTTGAACTCTCAGTCCTCCTCCTTCTGCCTTCAAAGTACTGGCGTCACAGGTGTGTGCACCATGAACAGATTTTTTTTTTTGGTAAAACTATTAATTCGTTTGAGATGATAATATTTTGTTAGCATTAGATCTTTAAAAATTGGTCATTTTAGGGGCTGGGAAGGTGGCTCAGTGGTAGAGCTCTTGCCTTGCATGCCTGAGGCCTTGGGTTCAATTCTAGCACCACATAAGCAAAAAGAAAAAAGCCAGAAGTGGCGCTGTGGCTCAAGTGGTAGAGTGCTAGCCTTGAGCTGAAGAGCTGAAGGGACAGTGCCCAGGCACAGAGTTCAGCCCCTACAACTGGCAAAAAAAAACAACTAGCAAGCCGGTGCTGGTAGCTCATGCCTATAATCCTAGCAATTTAGGAGGCTGAGATCTGAGGATCGTGGTTCAGAGCCAGCCCAGGCAGGAAAGTCTGTGAGACTCTCTTTTTTTTTTTGAACTCTGGGCCTGGCACTGTCTCTCAGCTCTTCAGCTCAAGGCTAGCACTCTACCACTTGAGCCACAGCGCCACTTC